TTTAGCATCAATATGGCAATCACAGGGGGTGGCAGCAGGGGGGAAGGGGTTGAGGGAGGGAGGGCGACTTACTTAGGCGTCAATGGCACGATTGACGGCTCAACAATTTTATTGATAAATGCCTTTTGATTGCGAAGCTCGGAAAAAAAAACGAGCAACAAACGGCAATAACAATAAAAGATGGTCACTTTGTGTTTTATTAGTTGTTCGTTTGTGTTTTTTTCTTTTCTTTTATTTATAGTTTTATACATAACTCAATTGATCGTTAAAATAATTATGGGCGCCATAAAAAATAATGCTTTACAACTCAAGTATTTCTTAATGAAAGAACAGTAAATATTAGTTAAATGACATTTATTTTTGGTAACACTTTTAATCGGTTTGTTATCTCAACAAGCTAGAAAAGATATCACAAAGCACGCGTTCGGGATCGCAAATTTTGAAAAACATGCATGGCTATTTGGAAATTACTTAGAGTTTGTACTTTATCAAGTATTAATCCTTACCAATATTTGATAGAGTATTGACTCTAAGTAAAGTATAAAAACCCATTTATAAATATGTGTTTTTATATGTTTTCTTATATATTTAAATATATATATGAATATACAATATAGTAATTATATTACAGTTGTAGAATTATATATATGACTGAAAAGAGAGCTCAAACTCGAATCATAAATTTAATATTTATGAAAAACTAATATGTAAAATATTAGTTATAATATTAGGATTACAGCAAGAAACATACAAATAAAATTTGTTTAAAACTTTAAAAAGTATTATTATGTTTTCGATTTTCCGAGTAAATTTCCGAATCTCTTTTTCTGAGATCTGGTTCGTAACAAGGATTGGTTCTTGGAACAAAAAGAACTGAAACTTCGATTGGGTTCCAAACCGGTTTGCAACCTTGACTAATAACAACATGGAGCAAAAACGCCTTATATATTTTTAAGGTTTTTGCAGTTAACTATTTCTAAATGTACAATTTAAGAGGTTGCCAACTGTGAGCAAGAAGTTAAACAGCATTTAAGCACAGCATTGCCATATAATAATTAATGAACAAAGAGCGTCAAAATGTTTGACAGCTCGCTGAATCATTTAAGCTGTGATCCACTGTGCGTACTTAACATTAGTCTTCTATCTTCTCTCTGCCTCTCTCTCACACACAAACACACACACACACACACATAGAGGAAACGACAGACATTTGTGTTATTCAAAGAATTAATTAACACTTTAGGCGAAAACTATTATGCAGCAGTGTGCACGAAAAATTAACATGACAGCTTTAGAAATGGCAATTTATCACTAACAATGTCTACGCTGTTGTTGTTGTTGTAAGTCTGTGCTGTTGATGACACTTTAATTAGAGCCACACGCAAACGCAAAGCTGGCAGCAATATTACAGCAACAACAACAGTGACATACGAATAACAGAAAAGAAAAACAACCCAAGCTGAGAGAGAGAGAGCGAGAGAGAGAGAGAGCGCTGCCAGCTTGAACTGTGCGTTGACTGTTAGCCTGCAACTGTTAACTGCACACGCTGCTTAAGCGATTTAACATTGTGTCATGAGTGTTTGACCGACTGACTGGCTGACTGACTGAATGACTGATTGACTGACTGCATAAATGGCCGCTTGACTGACACATTTAATTATATTAATGAATGTTTGCGGTCAGCTGACATTTGCACTTTATTTACACAAGGCGCCTGTCACTTTAGCTCACTGTTAACCGAACTGTTATCCAGGCTTTTGACTCTTCAGTTTGAGTTATTATCCAACACTTGGCATATGTTGTTGCCATTTTTTGTGGCACGCTTGTGCGCATTTTTCACATATGACAGCGAATTATCAACAGCAAAATGTTGTTGCAAAGTCAGCCATAATTTTGTTGGCCGTTTTTTATTGCGTGGAGCGCCACAGAAAAAAAGCAACAAAAAATAAAATACAAATGATGACACTGACAGCTGTCAAGCTTAGTTTATTTGATTTCATTATAATTAATAGCGAGCAGGCATCATTAATCATTGAATAATTTATAGATACACTCGTATTTGCAGATAGCATTTACATATATAGATATATATATATATATTTATATATTTGTTTGTTTATTCATTTGCGAAAGGGTTACTCACTCGGCGACTGTCCGATTGTTAAGTAAATAAATTTACCTCAGATGACAGCGTTATAAATTATAAAACCTGCATACATTATCTATAAAGACAACGACAAGAAACAGATACAAAAACTGTCGACTATTTGCATACCCTTGCAGAACACATATAAATTAAAGTTATTCGACACATTGCTGATATTTTTGTTGCAGGCAGGAAATTAGTTCTGATATGATCTAGCTGAGAAACGGAAACGACTCACGATTTATGATAAAATTATAATAAAATAAGTTTCAATTTATTTTTATCTTTGCTTTACCTGCAAAAACTATATTATATGCCATAAATTAAACTAGAATGCTGTTCAATCACATTGGAACTAGTTCACACTGGTCACGTGCTGCCCTATATAATTCGGCAACCAGTCGAAACCAGTTGAATCAATCAATCAATCAAAATTTCGTTTGAGTTGCTTCTTTAAGAGTGATTTAAACATTTAAATGAATGAATAAATTGGGTGCTTATTTAAATATGTTTATCTTTGAAATGAATCAAAGGTATTTCAGCTTTAGCTCAATCAACTCTAAAGTTTATGAGCTTTGAATTAAGATTCTATATTCATATTATATTCATGCCCAACTAGAATCAATTCAGTAATCATTATAAAGAGTGATATAAATACATTCATCTATGAAATGAATTAAATGTTTTCCAACATTAACTCAATCAAAGTGATGAAGCGAGCGCACTCACATTCATTGCACGACTTGAAGAATATATACACATAAATTAAAATGAAGATTCTGCATTCATATTATATTCATACCCAACTATTAGTTAAGAGGTGAATGAATGAATGAAATGAGTACAGCTGAAACTGCATTAAACTTAATGAATGCACTCACATTCATTGTGCGCTTTCTTTTCTTCCTGTTCATTGTGCGAATATTTACCCACAAATTAAAATGAATATTTATTGGCCTTTAAGACTTGTGGGGAGTAAGAGAGAAAAATAGAGAGTGTGTGAGAGAGAGAGAGAGAACAAAGATGTTGACTCTGATTAACTGCCATAGTTTAAGTATTTTGTTGTGTGTTGTGTTTGGCTGCATTTGCGAAATTGCATTTGTTTGTTTAGTCATTATAAATTTAAATTTGCTACACCATAAATTTGTATACAGTTGCCAGAGGTGCCCTCTCTATCTCTGTCTCTCTGCCTCTCCCTCACTCTCAGTCTCATCTACATGCATTTAGATAGTTTAATATGCACAAACATAAATAAGTTTTATGTGCTGATATTGGATAATTTATCGCGCTACGATTGCGAATTTTCTATTTGGCTTGGATTTTCCTTGCCACTTGCCACTTGCCACGTTTCACATGCGTCGTAAACAGCTGCTGCTGCTGCCGTTGCAGTAGTCAGCGATTTTAGCCCAGAAGCACATGGCCAACTTGGCTGTATGTCTGCCTGAGAAACGACATGTGTAGGAGTTTTGTTGTTGTTGTTGCTGTTTGTGATTGTTGCTTTTGTTGTTGTTGTGTCGCACAATAAATTCGCTTGTGGCGAAGTGCAGTAATTGCAATTCTGTCGACATTTCAATTATTTATGAAATATCATAGAGTTCATAAATAATGGCAACTCATTTGCTACCTGGCCATATTTTAGCTGGACTGTGATAAATTACAGTTCGTTGGCTAAACACACTCGATTCTATGATTCGATTATTCAAAGTGAAAACAAACAGGTTCGACTAAAAGCAATTATTTAATTCTTATTAATTGAGCAAGAATTCTTGACAATCATAAAAATACATTAATGAATTAAAAGTATTTCAGCATTAATTCAATCAATTGCGAATGAGTTAGAAATCAGTGATGCAATTAGACTCATCGATTTGTGAATAGTTTGAATATGTTACAAGGTAAATAAAGACATTCATATGTGAGTGATATAAATAAGTCCACACATGGAGTTAATCAGTATTAAGTTAATAAATTCTGAAGATTATAATAAAAATATGGAGTGAATTGAAAGTATTTCGGCATTAATTTGAATCAACTCAATCAGTTAGGATAAAGCATTAATATAATATGATGAATAAGAAATGAATGGAACGGACTTTCAATTAGTTCATTTATAAATTGCTATAAACTCGAGTCTCTTTATTCTTAACGAAGTCTGGCAACTCTTTGCTCTATTTGCCCCTAAACGCTGTTTTTAACTGAGTGTGTTAAAATTTGCAAAATTGATGTTGTTTTTATATTTGCCAACTAGTAACTTATTTTCGGAATGAAAATACGAAACTCCTTTCGCTCTTCAGTTTTAATATAATAATATAGTTTCATATTTTCCAATTAGCAGCAAATGTTTTCAATGAAAATATATAAAAATAAATGATTTTAATTCAATTATAGTTGTGTATTCCACAACGGACAACTGAGAACACAAAAAGTTTTCGAATATTGGTTTCGATTTAATTTGATAATAATATAGCAACTAAAACTAAAAAAACCCTCCCGCTAATTTGCTTTAGTTTTATTTTAATTGAATAATATAGTTTTATATTCCGCAGCTGGCAACTAATGTTTTCAATGGAAATATACAAATTGTTGGTCTTAATTGGATTATTTTGGTTTTATATAGCTAATGTTTTGAATGTAAAAACCTTTCGCTGATATACACAGTTTTATATAAATTTGTATATTCCCCAAATGGCAACAAATGCTGTTAATTTAATTATTTTATTTTATATACCCCAACGGACAACTCATTATTGGAATGAGAGCACAATAAAAAGCTTTAGCTTAAATCCATATTTATAAAAAAAAGAAGACGAAGAAGCAGAAGGAGGGGAGGGGTAGAAGAGGAAGAGAAACTCACCGCTGTCGGCGCTGCGGCTGCTGTCATATAATCCGGCCTTAAGTAGTGATGATTGCTGGATTGCAGCATTTTGTTATAGTTTGTTAAATCCACTTTGACGGCTGTTCTTTGGTTGAGGCGGAGGTGTTTGAGTTGAGTTTAATTTTGAGTTGAGTTTTGAGCTATGAGCTGGCTGCAGGCGAGTTAAAATTGCCCTTGCTTAACGGTAAATGGCAATTGAATGCAGACAATTTTGCTGTTTTTGTTGTTGTTGGTGTTGGCAACGCTGACAGTGGCGTGCTGCCAACTCGTGTGAAAAGCGGCGCCTGCGCCTCAAAACTTTTGTTGTTGTTGTTTTCAATTAAGTCGTTGTTTTTTTGAATTGCAGTTGTGGTTGTTGTTGGTTTTTTGTTGCGGTTGTTGTCGTTGTTGTTTTTGTTGTTTGCTTGTTATTTATATCATTAATAATTCAATGGGCTTTATTTGACTTTCACGCAAACAGCATATTAATTTTTATTTGCTGCTTCTGCTGCTGATTTTAATTGTGTAATAAATTCATTAAGTATTTTAATTGCAGCTGCTTAACATTTATTATTATGTTTTTATTTTGCGCACGATATATATTTAATTTAATTTTTATTTAATTTTTGATTTGTTGAGTTACGCGCCAAAAGCTGCAAAATGCGAATTTCGAATCGGAATCGAAAACAATGAGAATCGAAATTTAAGCTATTAAATTACTTTCTGGCTTCTTTTTTGCTTTCTTTCTTTCTTTGGCTGTTTTTGGTTTTTGGTTGTTTTTTTGATTCGCCTGAATTGCCACGTTTTGGGGCACGTACGTGTGACTTTTATTAATATTTTCTTTTTACAGTAGAGCGTGGGGGCGGTGCGGGGCAAGGGAGCGGGGGAAATTTGAAAGTTTTATTTTGATTTATTTGCAAATATTTATATAGATTTTTGATATTGAATATTTTTAAATATACACAAACTTCAGTCTAATAAAAAGCACCTTTTGAAAATTGATCACTTTGTATATTTCAAAAAATTATATATATATATATGTGTGTGTGTGGCGTGTGTGCGAGTGTGGTATATATATATATATTTGTATATATGCAATTTGTTACGTATTTTAATTTCACACACACAAACATCCGTTCGCAATCCGTTCGCAGCGCACGATGTGCTTTAACGTGAAATAACAGAATTCGACTAAAAATCTATAAACAACATTTTCGACTCATTCATTTTGCGCTCAGCATTTTGCCGAGTCTCCGCTTTTAGCTCGCGAGAGTGTTAAAATTGATGCCGACTTGCTCAACGAAACCAGTTCAGTTACAGTTGCATGTGTGCGTGCGTGTGTTTGTGTGTTGTTTGCTCTCTTTTTGTTGTGGTTCGTTTTCATTTTCAACAAGTGTGCTTTTGTTGTTGTTCGTTGCCATGCGCATTGCGAGAGCCCAAGCGAGAGCATGAGAGCAACATTAACAGCGTGAGAGTGAAAGAGAGTGCATTTTGTGCTCTTTGCTGAGCGCGCATGCTTGCAAAAGAGGCATTAAAAAGTACTAAATTGCATTTAGTAGTAGGAAGGCACCAGTGGTAGTAGTAGTAGCAGTGTAATTGTGACTGTTAAACTTAAATTGGGCTTAAGCCAATGCCATTTGACTGACTTATGGGCACAAGTGATTACAAGATTACAATAAGAAATAATAAACTTACAAGCGATTTTTATGTATTCCCACACACTAAACTTACGAGCACACAGCCACACAGTCGACCAAACGACGCTCATTGGACGATCGACGCTTTTGTGTAGCCATTTTGGGAATTTTTCTCACTCTTTTTGCTGCTGTTGCTGCTGTTGTTGTTGTTGTTGCTGCTGTGGGCTTTTGCGGTTGTGTTGAGTAATATTGAGAGCACAACGGCGTCGGCCATAATTGTTTACAAGTTGCGGTGAGCAGGTGGGCGGTGTGTAAATGATGTGCTAGAGTAATGTGGTCAGATAAAATATTAGTTAGAGTGAGAGCGCGAGAGAGAGTAGAGTTGGTGAGAATCGTTGTTGAAGACAGAGAGAGAGAGAGAGCTTAAATAGGAGTTTGTTTTTAGGCAACAATTGAGAACAAAGTTGTGAACAAGCTGTAAACACAAAACAGCTGCTTTTAAATGCTGCAAATGAAAAGGGCAACCGGAAGTGAGTACACACACACACACACACACACAGACGAACTAACTTTCAGTTAATCAAATTTTTGGCCTTTTTTGTGTAAAGTTTGACTTCGGTTTTAGATTTGATTTGAATATTGAACTGGTATCCGCTCTTTCTGCTTCATTAAATAGAAATCAACGCCCACTTTTAATTAAATTTAAATTAAGCAAGTTTAAGCATACGAAAATTAACTTTTACATTCAGAAACAATGATTTAGCTAAGATATTTTATGCCCATAATCTGCATAGTAAAATCGATTTGGCATTCACATTTATTTGCCTACCAGCTGCACGATAAATAAAAAGCATAAAAACGACATCAGCGTTTTATTACAACTCTGATGTTTCATTCATGGCTAATTCGACTGCGAAATTAAGGTACTATACAAATGCTAATTTCTGACATCTTCAATATCTCATAAGCCGAACACCTACCTTTAAAAATCGACAACAGTAATGACCAGCAAAGACAATGCCTTTGTTCCAAGCTGGACATGTCATAAAAACCGTAAAGATCGTTTACATATAAATAGTAAATCAATATATAAATATCCATTGTTTCTTGTATATTTTTGGGAGAGTCTTTTTGGGATAACGTCATTTTTAGTGATGAGTCAATATTTAAAATATTTGGACTCTTCAAAACAAATGCAGACTCCACTAAAAATAAGGCTCCATATTTGACGAATTTTTAATTAGCGTACGCATAATTTTTAGGTAAAAAAGTGTCTTAGTTATACATTTTTTAGTACTTGTTTTTTAATATTTTTTTTATATAATTTTTAATATTTTTACCTATGCTAAAATGGAGTTTTAAAGTTTTATGATATTCGCTGATTAATAATTTACGAATCAGAGAAGTGAACAATTAATTAAAAAAATGGTGGCATTTTGCTTATCATTTTTTATATTTCTTCAATTATATTTTTTATTATTTTAACTATGCCAAAGTGTAATTTTCTAGTTATTATTTTTGTCTAAATATTTATAAGTCTGTCGAAGAGGCGTTTATGATCTGTTGGCTGCTGACTGGCGCCTCAAATCAACGTGCAACATTAACATATTATTATTAGGGCGTTGCCATATTCGGTTATTGCCACAATCGTCTTCGATTTCTTATTTAATTTAATGCTATCATAAAAAAATATAATAAAAATGAGATTTTTATGTTTTCTATCTATCACGCTCATTAGAAAGCTTACAGCTTTTTGCACGATGTGATCGACGAGCAGACACCTTTCTGGATAGCTGTCATAAATTGAATTCTTATATATATATTTATTTTTTCATTATATATTTAAATTATTTAATTCAGTCCACATTAAATAAATAAAATTAAACAGTCGAAATTTTCAAAATCATAAATGGAAAATTAAATTAAATGAAATTAAAAGGTAGAAATTAAATATAAAATGAATGGAAATATGAATAAATAAAAGAAACCGAATAAAAAATAAATAAAATAAAATGCACAATATAAGTTACTTATATTAAAGTTTTCACTTTAAATTAAATTCATGTTTTGTAATATTTCTAAATTTATTTATATATATTTATGTATTTTCGCTCTTTATTAATTTATCTGCAGGGCAAGAAAACCCATAAAATGTATAAAATAAAAATCCACTTAAAACCGAGTCAATCATTTGCAAGTTTATTATTGTTGAGCGTGGAAATACAAATTGATTTGTCGCGTATTTATAATAGGTTTAATTAAATTTTATTTAATGGTTTCGGTTTAGTCGAGTGGCATATTTTTTGTTGCTTTCCGCTTAGCCGCAGCAAAACACAAACAATTTAGCTTTCAATTAAGGGTCACAGATATATTTGTGTGTTTGTTAACCACAAAATTAAGTGGATAACTGAATTTGCGGCCACACACAAAACACACAGAGCACACTCAGACACACAAACCAGGAAAAAAAGGCTTTGCCGTTGTCCTTTTTTCTGGTTTTGGGCCCTGCATGAAAATCCCAAAAGACAAATAAGGGACTGAGACCGGAAAACATTCCGGTTGTGTTTTTGTCAGCATTTTAGCAGTTCATTTATGCGGGCCTAAAAGAAAAAGCCTCCAGCCACACACAAACACACACATAATTGACCGGAAAAGCCAGTTTAGACAAAACACCACACAAAATGGCACATGTGAGTGGTTCCATTGTGTTTATTTTACCATTGACCAGGTTGCTGGCTGCAACTTTAAGCCACTCAAGTTAATTGTGAGGGGGGTCATTTTAATGCCAGACATCGATTTATGTTTTCAACTGGCTTATGCGATATGTCTCTCAAAACTGACTTACATAATTAGTGAATGCCCAGCTTTTAGAGTTATTTATATTAGTTTTATTGTGTGGCTTCTAGTTGATTTATTGCGCCCTCCTCTGAGCTATAAATCAACGCAACTTTGAAATCGCCGTAAGTATCAGAAAAGTTTACTTGTTTTTAGAAATAATTTTTAAATACTAGGTAAAAGATTTCTAAAAATGTAGAAAGTTTGCCCTAAGTCGACAATCACAAAAGTAATGCGATTTTTTGTGTATAATTTAATTATTTATTTTTCTAAAAAGTAGAAATGCAAATTGATTGATTCTTTTATAAAATCCTTTTCTTAATGTCAGAAAATAGTTATGAAAATTGCTCTCTCGACTGTAATATTCGAATTTAGCTGTTGTCCGCTTTTTATATATCTTAAAATACTAATAAATATTAAACTAAGCAACAAAACATTATATAGAAGAATTCTTCTATGTAGAAACATAAAGACATATTTTATCAACATTTTAGAAAAATCCACTTTGAAATTGAGAAATGCAATCCTTTTTTTTGAGAAAACCAAAACCTTCTATTTTAGAAATTTACTTTCTCACTAATAATTTTCATCTAACTGTAGATTGCAGTGTTTAACTAGCTGACATGTTTTCTTAAGTTTTTCTAAGTTTTCTTTTCCATTTTCTAGCCTGATTTCTCTCGACGCTCTCGCTTAAACATGCTCTCTTTTGCGCTCTATTTTACCACTTAGCAGCACCTCGACTGCAGTTAAACTGCCAAGCACTTTTAGCCTTTTTTTGTAAAAAAAAGCTAGCCAACCCCCCTCCCCGCCATCCGTGCACACTCCCTGTTTGTCTCCAGGAGCACACTTGTGTGCTCACTTTCATGTTGTACTATGAATTATATGCGCTGCA